GCTGAACCTGCATGATGGGTAAGTGACAGCAACTGAACCATCTCTTCCACCCTTTCCTTCCATTCAGATGAGAGATGTGGTGGGTGCTGCTACTGCAGGGCAAACATACTACAGGAGCTGCATGGACAGTACCATTAAATATATGAACTTCTACAAAATCCCCAAAACTGTTCAGAACCGGGTGAAAACGTGGTACGAGTACACATGGCACTCGCAAGGCATGCTAGGTGAGCTCAGGGAGCAGTGCGTGTGACTGTGCCTGCCTGGCAGAGCTGAAGTGTTGCTGTCATAGCACTCTAGTTTTGGGTGGAGGTGGCTTTTTTTTTCCCTCTATGCTACATGGGCTTGTTGGCCCACTAATAGAGTGTTTAAGCTGGCACTGGGCTGCAGCACCATGGTGACCCAGCACATGGAGCCCAGCCTCCCATCTGCTTTCTCATAGCTGGCCAGAGCATGTCCAATGGCAAAGCCACTAGCTCACCCCACCAGGAAATCACAGAATCATAGAATGGTTTGGGTTGGAAGGGACTTAAAGATCATCTAGATCCAACCCCCTGCATGGGCAAAGATACCTCCCAGGTTGCTCCAAGTCCTCTCCAACCTGCCCTCGAACACTTCCAGAGATGGGGCCTCCTGCCCTCTGCCACCAAAAGGAGGGATGCTTTCCCCCCTGCCATGCCAAGGACACACTCAGATCAAGTGCTGGAAACTGCCAGTTTTCTGCTTTCTCTCCCAGATGAGTCGGAGCTGCTGGTGCAGCTGCCAGACAAGATGAGACTGGACATTGCCATTGAGGTGAACTACAACATTGTGAGCAAAGTGGCCCTCTTCCAGGTACCATCATTAGCTTGGTCACAGCTGGTGGGGCTTGACCACTGGCATGGACTCATGGCTCTCTTGGCTCTCTTCTGGCTTAGGGCTGCGACAGGCAGATGATCTTTGACATGCTGAAGCGGCTCAAATCAGTGGTCTACCTGCCTAATGACTATGTGTGTAAGAAGGTAAGGTGGTGCTCAGGTGCCCTCTGGTCCCCAGTGTCACGGCCAGGCTGTGCAGGGCACCAGGAGCAAGGCAGAGCAGGGAGACCCAGGCCCGCCCATCACCGTGGCATCCAGCTACTTCACAGGGAGGGAATTCAGAGCAAGACCCCTGGGTTGCAACTGATCTTGTGCAGAGACTGACCTCTCCTGCTGCAGCTATGAACAGCAGGAGGGACAGGTGGAGCCTGCCGAGGTGGAGGAGACGTTGGGCTGCTTAGAGGAGGATGCTGGGTAGCGAGCACCACCAGGACAAAGTGTTGCAAGAGCTTTGAGTAGTGTGGTCGGTGGAGTTCCCAACAGGACACAGGCTGGGGGATCTCTAAGGTTGGCCTGTTTCTGGTCACCTCCCACAGCCCCTGTCTTCCCTGCAGGGAGAAATTGGCCGTGAGATGTACATCATCCAGGCAGGACAAGTGCAGGTGCTGGGAGGACCCGACGGCACAACCGTGCTGGTGACCCTGAAACCTGGATCCGTGTTTGGAGAAATAAGGTGAGGAGTCACAGTGATAGAGATGAAGGCACTTGGGTGTGGAGGACCAGCAACACCCTGATTTATCCTGATGACTGGCAGCATCTGCTACATAAATTACAGCCTTTTTTTCTTGGAGCTTTCCAGCTCTTTTTGTTGTGGTGTTTGGTTTTTTTTGTCATAGTGCTGTTTGCTGCCTGGCCAGCAGCTTCCTCCTGTGGACACAAACACAGCAACCAAGGCTTGGCTTGTTCCCCAATCTCAATCAGCTCCTCTCCCTCCTCCTTCTCTTGCCAGTTTCCCCCCTGATTTTTGGCGTTGCCTGAAGTCAACAGGAGCAAACAACCCCACTCCTCTGCTGCCAAGCCCTGTTCCTTCCTGGGCCCCACCAGGCCCATTTTATGACCCATTTTGGCACCTGGCAAGATGCATGGAAAGTGGACACCACTCCCTGCTCATTCCCAGGGCTGCACCATCATGGCTCTGAGCTACGAGGGGCAGGACAGGGAAAGGTGGAGCAAGAAAGTGAAATCTGGAAAAAATAGGGAGGTTCTGGGGACACAGCCTGGCTCTGAGCTGGCTCCATTGCACCTTAAACCCCCCAAGTCAAGGTGCGAATTGCAGAGCAGCAGGTACAGAACATAATGGCTGCAGGGACCTGCTAGGCCACATGCAAAGTGCTGCTGCTGAGAGCAGCTGGTGGCAGTGAACAGTGGTATATGGAGGGGAATGTAGATGTTTCACTGAAACAACTCCCAGCCTTTAACCTGCCCATGTCACAGGCAGGTGAAGTCCTGTACCAATTTGTGACATGGTGACAGTTTGTCTCTCTACACCCAGCGGACACTAGAGGGGTGTCAAATGCAATATTTAAACCTTCCAACAGGCACCTAATTTTTCAGGCAGTGCTTCATGCCAGCCCTTCCCAGCAAAAATTTGGCTTGGGAAATGTCATTGGAGGGGGATGGGAGTTGAACTCTGAGTCCTCAAGAAGTGGGACACCATGGGAAATTGGGAGATTTTCAATGACAGGTGTTGTGTGGAGCCCATTGGTGGCCATGTTAACATCTCACCCTGTCCCCCTCAGCTTGCTGGCGGCAGGAGGGGGGAACAGGCCAGCCCTTCCCAGCAAAAATTTGGCTTGGGAAATGTCATTGGAGGGGGATGGGAGTTGAACTCTGAGTCCTCAAGAAGTGGGACACCATGGGAAATTGGGAGATTTTCAATGACAGGTGTTGTGTGGAGCCCATTGGTGGCCATGTTAACATCTCACCCTGTCCCCCTCAGCTTGCTGGCGGCAGGAGGGGGGAACCGCCGCACAGCCAATGTCATCGCTCACGGCTTCGCCAACCTCTTCATTTTGGATAAGAAGGACCTGAATGAGATTTTGGTGCATTACCCAGAGTCTCAGAAGCTGCTGCGTAAAAAGGCCAAGTGCGTGATGGTCCTGATGCTTTCCAGTCTGTGGGGTGATCAAAAAAGAGCAGAGGTTTCAAGGTTGTGGGGGAGATTTCATAGTATCACAGTATCATTCTGCTTGGAAAAGACCTTCACCGTCATCGAGTCCAACCACTACTTTCTCTCTGCATGAAGGCCTGGGAAAAATCCACCTGCAGGCACCAGGGGTTGGGTACAGGTCCCTGGAGGGGAGCTGGGCTGGAGCTGCTGATGGGCCAGGGGAGGCTGGGGGGGCCAGGGCCAGCCCAGCCCTGACACAAAGTTCCACTGCTAAAAATCATGGACAAAGTGCATTTGTTTCAAAATCTACTGAAATAGTCACTTTAGATTTTAGTGTTACTTAGATTTCTTCTTCTGTCCTTCCTAACGTGTGAAAAATCCCTGTCCTTTTAAAGTCTGATATTTCTGCATCCTAAAACCCAGCTAAGAGAACATAAGCCCAGACTGAAGCTGTCTCTCCTTTTCCTTGCTGTAGGAAAATGCTGAAAACCACCAATAAGCCCAAAGTGGAGAAGGCAGCACCTGGAGATGTGCTGATCATCCCCCCAAAACCTGACACCCCGAAGCTCTTCCAGGCTGCCCTGGCTGCCACGGGGAGGATGGGGGGCAGAAGAACTCTGGCCCAGCTCCGCTGGAGGCTGAAGGAGCTGAATGCAATGCAGGTGGCACAGGTCAGCCTCAGACAGGGGTAGTTTATTCCTTTGGGTCCCAGGTTGCTGCTGCCCCCAAATGACAGTTGAGGTGCCACAAAGGAGTGAGCTCAGGTCATTGAGGTCTGAGGTAACATGGGTGAATGTGAAGAGGTGGTCCAGCATCTTCCACATGGTCTTGGGAGAATGTCATTGTCCCACAGGGGTTTGTTTTCACAGAATCACAGAATTGTTCTGGTTGGAAAAAAACATCAAGTCCAACTGTTGACCCGACACTGCCAAGGCCACCACTGCCCCATGTCCCTCAGCACCACATCCACACAGCTTTGAAACCCCTCCAGGGATGGGGACTCCCCCCCTGCCCTGGGCAGCCTGGGCCAGGGCCTGACAGCCCTTTGGGGAATAAATTGTTCCCGATATCCAATCAAAACCTCCCCTGGCACAACCTGAGGCAATCTCCTCTCATCCTGAAGGTCTTCCCTCACCTCCTTGTCTCCAGGCTGGACACTCCCATCTCCCTCAGCTGCTCCTGCTCACACTTGTGCTCCAGACCCTTCCCCGGCTCCATTGCCCTTCTCTGAACACGCTCCAGCCCCTCAATGTCCTTCTTGTCCTGAGGGGCCCAGAACTCACCCCAAGATTTGGGGTGTCCCCTCCCCAGTGCCAATTTTGGCAGCACAAAAGGGAAGACTGACTTTTTGCATGGCTGTGCCAAGCCTGAGTCCAGTTTCTAGCCACAGACAAACATCTCTTCTGTGCCAGAGGCAGAGTCACTAGGGATTAATGGATGTGCTGGCGACTTCAGAGGGTGATGCTGGTGTCCAGCATCCACGGTCCAGTCAACATCTGCAAAGCTTTCCCAGAGGGGTTGGCCAAGGCCCCCAACAGCAGGTACACTATCCTGCCAGCCTGGCAGGGACATCACCCTTGCTTTTTGTCAAGAAACAGAATCACAGAATCCCAGACTGGTTTGGGTTGAAAGGGACCTTAATGCTCATCTAGATCCAACCTGCTCCAGCCCAGGAAGAAAATGGCCCTGCTCTTTTAATTATTTTTTTTTTCTTTCCCTCCAAGAGTCTCTGTTTAACTCATAAAAAAGGTCTTATCTCTATGCAGACCTTGTCGATACTCTTCCCAGCAGGCAGTTTTGCAGGCTGTCCCATCTGGGCATGTTGAGGGAGGCAAAAGAGCAACTGATAGGGAGTGTGGTGGCCTTGAGCCTGGGTAAATACTCAGGGAGAGGCCAATAGGAGCTTTGGCTCTGCAGTCCTGCACAACAGCATGGTGAGGCTTCACACAGTGAAGTGCTTCATGCTAATTAACAAGCACTTACAGACAGTGCCACTGCATGCTCCACCCACGAGCAACAAGTCCCAGAGGGTGCACCTATAGGGAGCCAACCCCACAGTGGGGTGAGCAGGATGCCCTAAGCAGGACGTCCCTCCCCACGGTATGTCCACAGGTGACATTGCTGAGGCTCCTTTCTAAGGGAGGCTTTAGGACAGGCCATTCAAGGTCTGCTCCCTCACAACACCACTTTTCACAGAATCACAGAATGTTTTGGGGACCTCTATAAAGATCAAGTCCAACCCCCCTGCCAGAGCAGGACCAAAACCAGAGCAGGTCACTCAGAAAGGCATCCAGACAGGGCTGGAAAGGCTCCAGAGAAGGAGACTCCACAACCTCTCTGGGCAGCCTGTCCCAGGGCTCTGTCACCCTCACAGGAAAGAAGTTCTTCCTCATGCTGAGGTGGACCTTCCTGGGCTCAAGGTTGAATCCACTGCCCCTCATCCTGTCCCAGGGCACAAGTGACAAGAGGTTGTCCCTGCCTTCTTGATGCCCTCATGTATTGATAGTCATTCATTAGATCCCCCCCTCAGTCTTCTCTCCAAGATTAACCCCTCCAGCTGCTTCAGGAACAAAACATAAGCCAGTGCAGGAGGTGTGAGCACTGCAGTAATCTCCAGGCCCTTTGCTTGAGATGTGCCAGGTAATCCAGGCGCCAACACATCGAGGTGTCTTTGCACCAGCCCAACATCCCCATGATGAAGTCCAGTGTGGTGAAACTGCACCAGACACCTGCCTGGCTTTGCCCAGTGCAGACACTGCAGTTGTGAATGGAGGACAAGGCTCTGCGAAGGCTGATTTTTGCCTTTTTGGTTTGTTTTTGATGGCAGGATTCCAGCTCCAGTCCAATCCCACCACAATCACCAGTGCACCGGAGATCACCTGTTTCCTCCCAAAAAGCACCCGTCCCCCTGGGGGGAGAACTGTTCTCAAAATCATCAGATAGTTTAGTCACCATTCGTGTGATTCCTACAGCAGGAGAGAAGGAGGAAATCCTTGCTGCTGAGATCTCAGAGGTAGAAGAAGCAAAAGAAGAGAAATGAAAACCAAGCAGGTTCTGGGGCAGGAGTAGGAGAGCACCTGGGGTAGAAGCTTTTTCTCATTAGCAATTTCCAAGCAGGCCTGTGGGGCTGTGCTCTGTTCTGTGGGTGGGATCTGCCCCTCTTTGCTGCCTAGACCTTCACCCACTGCTGATAAAACCCTCTGCTGCATGACCCAGAACCACGCAAGGTTTCCACACTCTGAAGATCTATTTCTAGAGAGCATTAATAATTAATTAATATTCCCAGTAAATCTCAGGCCGGGTCTCTTGCTTCCAAATGCAGCCAGACAGAGCAGGAAGCCTGAAGAAATAACTTTTTATGGCTCTGGGGCATTACTGAGTTTTCAGATAAAGCATGAAGAGTTATTCACCTCTGGCAGCTGAATCACCTGAAAAAAACAGGGGAAAAAAACCAACAAGGTTTCTGTGTTGGACTCAAGGTTGTTGGCAGCTGGAGAGTGATTCATGCAGAAAGGATGTGGACTATGCTCACAAGCTGAACATGGACCAGATCACACTGTCATGAGAAGGCTGAGGTCCATCCTGGTGCACATGGACTGCAAGATGCTTGAAGGTCCCTGCGTGGTGCCAAGACCACCTTGGGTTTGCTGCTGGGCAGAGGAGTTCCTGCCAGCTGGCCACCCCAGGGAAGTGGTGGGCTCTCCATCACTGGTCATGCTATGGAGAGATATGTTGAGCATCTTTCATGGATGGAGAAGCACAATCCTGGAAGAGGAGATGTTCCTGGAGATCCCTTCCAGCTCTAGGCTTCCATGGGTGCACCAGGCTGGTGCTGCCAGAGGAGTAAACCAAGTGCAGGATGGGAGAAGCTGTGTTGGTTTCCAGCTGGGATGAGAAAGAGAAGTGCAGTGAATGCTCTCCTCTCCCAGCCATCATCCAGGGTCAGGCCAGAGCCTGGAGCACCCAAACAAGTGTTCACTGCTGCACCTCAGTGATCTGCCACATTTCTAGAAGCCAATTCCCAGCCCCTTGCAGTCACTTTGTGTGTTCCTGGCCACGTTTCCCATGGAGAAGCCACTCTGGTGTTGCTTATTGCTGCAATAACCCACTTGTGCAGGTGATCTCCAGCCATGCAGGGACCAGGTGCTAGGTGGGAAAGTGAACACCCAGTTAGCACCCAGCACACCCAGCTGATGGCTTGAGGTCTCCAGTCTTCCAGAATCCAGGTCTAGTGGGAGGTGTCCCTGCCTCTGCAGGGGGTTGGGATGGAATGGTCTTTAAGGTCCTATCCAACTCAAACCAGTCTGGGATGCCATGAGTCCTCAAACCCATTGCCAACCAGAGCAAGCTACTCTGGTTGTGCTCTGGTGAGCTGAGGGATGGCCAGAGGTGCCAGGGGACACAATATGGGCCTTTCCCAGGGTCTCAGCTGGCCAGGTCTCCCTGGCACCACCAAGAGGAGCCACAGAGGAAAAGCTGGGGCAGGTTCTGCCACAGGAAGCAGCCCCTGCACCAGTGCCAAGGGACTTTCTGGGTGTTCAGCAGAAGCTGTGAGCAGCACTGTGGGTTTCATGGGGCCAGCACTCAGATATGGGTGATCCCTCTTCCCACCAGCAGCCTGGGCCTGATCTCTCCCCCCCACAGGCCCTTTTGTTGGCTTGCATGTTTCCCCCTCTTTTGCAAAATAGGTGGGTTTCTGTGGCAAAAAAAAAAAAAGAGTGTGTGTTAAGAGTGTGTGTTCATGTTAATTAACGATGGCTTGATCTCTTCTAAACAAATGTCATGAGCTCAAATATATCACAGGAAGCTCTGAAAGCTCCACTGCCCTCAACACTGCAGGGGAAAACCTGGACTCTTCCCCAAACCACCCTAAATATTTCTTGTCATCAGTCATTCTAAGTGGTTCTGGGCTGGGCAGAAGGTTTTCAGTGGGGAGCACAAGGTTTCGTTGGGTTTTTTTCACTCTCTAAATATTTATACAATTAAACCAGGAAATGTGCAGAAGTCAAACTGTGGCTTTGATTTGCTGCTGCAATGTGATATAGTTTAGAAAAAGCCTTTAAATAAATAGTGGGCTGCAATGTCTTTCATGATTCCCTGTAGCTACAATAAAGAACACATAGATTACTCTTCATTTGCTGTGGCTTTATTTCAAAATTGCCATTGGTTTCCATCTTTCTGCTCTTTGCTGCACTACTGGGTCCAGTAAAGTCCCCACAGATTTTTCCAATAAACTTTTTAGAGGCTCAGAGGTCACCTAATACTGGTAATAGAATTGTTGGGTTTTTTAATCCCTCCAGAAGGAGGGAAAAAAAACTTTCTTAAATGGCAAATACTTGGAGAAGATCTTCATTTTGACAGGCAGCATTAGCTGGTGGTGGACACGTCGCTGGTCATTCTGGAGCTGCTGGAAGATCTGAAGTTCTCCTCCTCACTTACCTGTTTGCAGCTTTAGTTCTGCAGAGAGATTATTCTCTGGGGAAAAATTCAGGTCAAGGTAGGACTGGGCTTAGCAGCGGGGTGTTGAGTTGAGCTCCATCTGTGGGCTGAGCAG